GTCCGGGCCGCCCTCGTCTTCGTCCTTATGATCCTGATCATGTGGACTTTATTGTTCGCGGGGTGCGAGATATGGTACCAGTCCATCGGCGCTTCTGGATTGATAGTACTCCGATGGAGACCTTGAGTTCCCGCCAAGTTGGAGATTCCATGAACGTGAGTGGTCCCTCTCCCCTTTTTTTTTTTTTTAAACTATTTGTATCCTGTGGTTCGCTGTTCTATGCAGATGGTTATGCAATCCATCGGGCTTCACCAGCGCCTGCAGGAAGCCTCTCGAGAGTACGCCGAGTTAGAGAGGACATACCAAGGTTTGGAGCATACTCTCCGGAAAGAGGAGGAGGCTCGTAGGCGCGTCATCAGAGAATTAAAAACCTTGAGGGAAGTGCACCAGACGCTACAGCAAGAGTACCAGGCCTTGGGGAATAAGCAACAGGCCCTCCAGGAGGAACATAAAACATTGGGAGAGGAGCACCAGGTCCTTCAGGAGAAACACAAAACATTAGGGGAGGAGCACCAGGTTTTGCAGGGGGACCACAAAACTTTGCAGGAGGAGCATAAAAGACAATGGTTAGATCATGACAAAGCCCTTGAGGGTGCCGTGGAGGATTGGCAAAAGACTGAAGATTTTGCGCGTGCTGCTAGTGAATATTCGTGCACACGCATACCTGGGCTGATCCCCTGGTGGTTAGGGCATTCGGATCGTTCTGGCGAAGGTATGGTCGAGGCCATGTTAGGGTGGCAATCTGTGCAGGAGTACCAGGATTATACGGGCCCTCCACTTGTACAGGTCCTCCAGGAGTGGGCCACTACCCCCGGGGGCAGGGCGGCCATGGGGCCGGTAGCGGAGGTGTGGTTACGCGAGACGCTAGAAGGTCAAAATAGGTTGGTGCAGGAATGCAATGCGGCGTTCTACATGGGACAACGGGATATGCAGGATAGGCTTTACGGGAAGCTAGAGCGCCGATTTACCTCTTTCAGCATTGAGGGGTGGAAACTGCCAGGCGTCCTTCCTCTTCGACCTACTCGGGCTCGGGCCACTCCTTCGTCTACTACACCCGCTGGCGGCGATGTGCTTATGACCCCCGAGGTAGCCCAACATGGTATGACATCGTCTCTTGCGGCTCCCTCGGAACCTGTGGCCGGATCTGGTATTGTCGGGAGTGTAGACCCTTCCGATCTCCATCTCACTATCAACTCGGGCTCTGGATTTTCTAGCTCATCTGCTGCTTCTGCGGCCCCGTTGTCTTTTTTTTTTTTTTTTTTTTTTTTTGTGTAATTTCGGAAACCTTAATGATCTAATGATAGACTATTTTCGCTCCCTTTTTTTTTTGTGTAATTTCGGAAACCTTAATGATCTAATGATAGACTATTTTCGCTCCTTTTTTATTTTTTTTTTGTGTAATTTCGGAAACCTTAATGATCTAATGATAGACTATTTTCGCTCCTTTTTTTTTTTTTTGTTGGCCGCCAAATACATGCGGCTTGCCGTGGGCAAGTCCGCGCATGTGGGTTGCGATAACCCACGCGCCCCATCCGCCAAAACCATGCGGCTTGCCGGGGGCAAGTCCGCGCATGTGGGTTGCGATAACCCACATGCCCCATCCGCCAAAACCATGCGGCTTGCCGGGGGCAAGTCCGCGCATGTGGGTTGCGATAATCCACATGCCCCATCCGCCAAAACCATGCGGCTTGCCGTGGGCAAGTCCGCGCATGTGGGTTGCGATAACCCACATGCCCCATCCGCCAAAACCATGCGGCTTGCCAGGGGCAAGTCCGCGCATGTGGGTTGCGATAACCCACATGCCCCATCCGCCAAATGCATGCGGCTTGCCGGGGGCAAGTCCGCGCATGTGGGTTGCGATAACCCACATGCCCCATCCGCCAAAACCATGCGGCTTGTCGGGGGCAAGTCCGCGCATGTGGGTTGCGATAACCCACATGCCCCATCCGCCAAATGCATGCGGCTTGCCGGGGGCAAGTCCGCGCATGTGGGTTGCGATAACCCACATGCCCCATCCGCCAAAAGCATGCGGCTTGCCGGGGGCAAGTCCACGCATGAGGGTTGTGATAACCCGCATGCCCCATCCGCCGAAAGTCTGTAACACTTAATGCAATGTGTGAAAATTGCGGATATTATTAACATGCGACACAATGTCGTCTACAAGGAAAATATGAATTACTTACGATGCAACATACCCCGGTAATGCCATGGGAGTCGCGTTATTTGTCATACCTTGAGCTATTCTATTTACTGAAAGAACCTTCGCAGGTGGTGGGCGTTCCAAACGCGGTCCACGGTCCTACCCTGCATTGTTTTAAGTTTGTAAGTGTTTTTGTGCACTGACTCCGCCACTTTGTACGGCCCCTCCCAATTCTTGGCTAGCTTGCCACCCTGAAGTGGTTTGCTGGCTTCTCGTCGTCGCAGGACTAGGTCGCCCACCTGGAAATGGCGGGGGCATGTCCTTGCGTCGTGGTAGCGTTTAATCGCCTGTTGGTAGATAGCAATATTTCGTCTGGCTGCCTCCCTCCTCTCCTGTAGGAAGTTCAATTCGACCCGGAGGTCTTCCTCATTCTGGCCAGGTTGGAACCGCGTGCTACTCCTCGCGGGGGTTATCACTTCTACTGGTGTCCGTGCTTCGCACCCATATGTGAGCGCGAAAGGGGTATCTCCCGTTGCTTTTCGGGGGGTTGTTCTATGGGCCCATAATATGGACGGTAGTTCCTCGTACCAGGTGGACCCCGTTGCTTCGACTCGCTTCTTAATTTCGTCAATGATGGTGCGGTTGGCATTCTCTACCTGACCGTTAGCTTGGGGATAGGCTACGGCGACCTTGATATGCTCCACCCCGTAATAAGCGCAGAAATGAGCGAATTCTTGGTTGTCAAACTGTTTGCCGTTGTCGGACACGATTTGGTGGGGTAACCCAAATCTCATGAAGATATTTTTCCATACAAATTTTCGGCACTGGGTCCCTGTGACGGAGGCAAGGGGCTCTGCTTGTACCCACTTAGTGAAATAATCTATGGCCATGATTAGGAACTTCAAGCCTCCCACCCCTTTGGGGAAAGGACCCGCCAAGTCGATGCCCCAGCGCGCGAATGGGATGGCTGAAGTGACCGGGGTGTAATAAGAGGCAGGTTTGCCGGGTAAAATCGCGAATTGCTGGCATGTAGGGCACTTCCTCACGTAGTCCTGGAAATCGGCTCTAATGCGGGGCCAGTAATACCCTTGCAAGATAATTTTCCTGGCCAGGGTTTGGGCGCCCTGGTGTGCAGCGCACACTCCTTCATGGACTTCCGCTATGACTTTGTCGGCTTCTGCTCGGGTTAAGCATCGGAGCATGGGCCCTCCAAAGGATAGTTTGAATAATCTTCCTTCAATCATCCTGTAAGACGGGGCCATGGACACTATTTTCCGTGCTCGTTGAGGGTCGAGGGGTGCTAGACCTTGTTCCTTGTAACGGATCATCTCCTGCATCCATTCATCTGGGGATGGTATTACGGCCAGGACCTCGTCCTTATCTACGCTGGGTGCATCGATGTCAATTGTCCGAGCTATCTTAGACACATAACTTAGGTGGTCTTCGACACCTTGAGCCACGCGGGACAAAAGGTCTGCCTCGCCGTTGTCTGTCCTCGGAATCTGGGCTAGTTCCCACCGCTCTACGGATGCCAATAGTCTTTGGACTACATCTCGGTATTGCCGCATCCTGTCTTCCCGTGCTTCGAACTGATTGTTGACGTGGCCCACGACCAGTCGTGAGTCTGAACGAATCTTGAGGTGGCGTGCTTGTAAGGCCTGGGCCAACCTCAGGCCCCCGATCAATGCTTCATATTCAGCTTCGTTGTTGGAGAGAGGGAAGCAGAACCTGAGGGCTTGGTAGGCCTTGAATCCTTCTGGCGAGATGAACACGACGCCACCGCCGCAACCCTTTTTACTCGAGGCGCCATCGATATACATTTCCCACTCTCCTGCGCCTTCTTCAGTCTGTCCCTCCTGGCGTTCTGGGATGGTGCACTCCACGATGAAGTCAGCGAGGGCTTGACCCTTGATAGCTGTGCGGGGGCGGTATTCGAGACTATACTGGGAGAGTTCGACCGCCCACTTCACCATGCGGCCTGACGAGACTGGGTTTCTCAAGATGGTGCCCAGGGGCCGGTCTGTCAGGACAATTACATGGTGTGCTTGGAAGTAGTATACCAGTTTTCGGACCGTTCTTACGAGGGCGTATACTGTTTTTTCAAGCGGGGTGTACCTGAGCTCGGCGTCATGTAGGGCCCTGCTAACGTAGTAGATAGGTTTCTGGATGCCTGTTTCCTCTCTGAGTAGCACCGAGCTAATGGCCGCGGGTGCTACCCCGAGGTATACGTACAATGGCTCCCCTTTCTCCGGCTTGGAAAGGACCGGTGCCGCGGACAGATATGCTTTGAATTGATCGAAGGCCTCCTGGCATTCCGGGGTCCAGGTGAAGCCGCTCCTTTGCTTCATGACCTGGAAGAATGGGAGGGACTTCTCCGCAAGCTTGGACATGAATCTGTTCAAGGCGGCCAGCCGGCCGTTGAGCCTCTGGACATCTTTTATCGATGTTGGGGGCTGCATCTTGAGGATGTTCTATGCCTTTTAGGGGTTGACCTCTATCCCCCGGTGAGTGACCATGAACCCCAGGAATTTTCCCCCCGTCACTGCGAACGCAAATTTCTTCGGGTTCAGGCGCAGGTTCTTCTGCTTCATAATCTCGAAGCATTGGGTCAGGTATGCTGGGTGAGTACCGGCATCCTTGCTCTTGACCAGCATATCGTCCACGTAGGCCTCCATTATGTTCCCGAGGAGGTCCTTGAATATTTCTGCTACCATACTGGTAAATGTGGCCCCGGAATTTTTTAAACCGAACGCCATGACCCGATAACAATATATCCCATCTGGGGTCACGAACGCCGTTTTCTCTTCGTCTTCTTCTGCCATGAAGATTTGGTGGTACCCTTTGAACGCATCCATAAAACTTAGCAACTCACATCCTGATGTCTCGTCAACCAATTGATCCGTACGGGGCAAGGGGAAAGGGTCTTGGGGCATGCCTTGTTTAAGTCCGTGTAATCCACGCACATGCGCCAAGTGGGCGGCTTCGGGGCTAGGACCACGTTGGCCAGCCATGCCGGATACATTGCCTTCCGTATATGCCCTATCGCTAGGAGCGTGTCTACTTTTGTCTTTACGAATGCCCTCCTTTCAGCTGACAGGTGTCGTCTTTTCTGCTTAACGGGTTTGAAATTGGGGTCTACCGCCAGTCTATGCGATATGATGGATCGGTCGATCCCGGGCATGTCTTCGGGACCCCACGCGAATATCATCGAGTATTCGCGTAGAACGGCGATGACCTGTTCCCGTAGCCCCGGGGCAAGGCCCTTGCCTATCCTAACGCACTTGTCTGGTCGACTTGGGTCCAGGGGGATCTCCTCCAACTCCACAGCTGGCTCGGGCCCTACCTTTTTCTCCCTCTCAGCCTCCTTCTCCACGGTATGGACAGGTAACTTTTCCGTCAGCATTCTCTCGCATGCCGTCTCATAGCACTTCCGGGCAAGATGCTGATCACCCCGTACCGTCCCCACCCCCTCGGGGGTATGGAATTTCAAACATAAATGCTCCATCGAAATAAGTCCGCCCAATGCTGCCAGCCCAGGCCTCCCTAAGATGAGGTTATGGGCGCATACTATCCTCACCACGAGGAACTCCATGTCCACTTTTTTCACGTGCAGGGGGTTACCAACTTCCACAGGAAGCACTATCGACCCTTCTGTCTCTATAGTGTCCCCAGTGAAACCAGCCAGTGGCGTCCTCACCGGTCGGAGCTGATCCTCGCTCAGTCCTAATTTCACGAACACGTCGTGATACATTACGTTAACACTGCTGCCTGTGTCCACAAGCACGCGCTTGACGCAGACCCCGTTGACCACCATGGCTACTACGAGTGCGTCCTTCGGAGTAGTCTCCCGCGCTGCCAGGTCATTGTCCGAAAACCAAATCGGTTCCCGGCGGAGCCTTTTCAATTGGGGGTGTTCGTCCACTGCACCTACATAACAGCCACCATCTACCTTCGAGGCCCCTCCCCCAAAGATGACATTGATCACTGGGCGCCTCCCCGGGCCCTCCCCGGAGTCAGTCGATTTCCCCTTAGCCTCCCCTACAGGCCCGACCGTCGGACGTTTAGCGTTCCTCGCAGCCAGCCGCTCCCAGTCTATGAAATTCGTCAACTTCCCTGCTTGTATGAGGAACTCTATCTCTTTCCTCCATGCCTGACAATCGTTGGTGGCGTGGCCGTAGCGGCGGTGAAATTTACAGTATCTCGTGGTGTCTGCACCCGGCGGGATTTGGTTGGGACCAAATGTCTTCACCAATTGACACTCCTCTGCATAAGCTAAGATATCGCTGGGTGGGGCGATAAGTGGGGTGAAAGGGGCGACCCGCGGGGCGGGCCGTGCCGCCGGGGGTGCTGACGTGGTGGGTCGCGCCGGGGCAGGCGCCGGCGGTGCCCATGGCGGGGGGGCTCGTGAACCCGCCGCGGGCCTCCCCCTCCCCCCGGCGCTAACCACCTTATCCTCCAGACTTTCCCGCGAATAACTAGCCCCCTTCTTAAGACGTGACGGTTCCTCGATCCTTGGCTTCTTGCTGCTGCCGTGCTCTTCTATGCGCTTCATGCGGTTGGCTTCTTCAGCTTCGGCATACCGGTCTGCCTTCATCATAAAGGTTGCGTATGAGCCGGGGGCCTTGCGGCGGAGGCTCTTGTACAGCTCCCCAGCACGGAGGGCTGCGATGAACATGACCATTGCAGACCGGTCGTCCATGTCCTCCACCTCGGCTTCCTCCTTTCTCCACCACGTGAGGAACTGGGTGAGGGTTTCATCCTCCCCTTGCTTGACGCTAGCGAGATGTGTGAAATGCTTCTTGCGCCTCCTTCCCCTCAGGAAATGGGTAATGAACTGGGTGGCCAGGTCTTGGAACGAGCCTAGCGAACCGCCTTTCAGGTTCGTGAACCATCGCTGCGCCCCCCCTGATAGCGTAGAGAAGAACGCGCGACACTTCAGGGCGTCTGACGACCCCATGAGCATCATGGCCGCCTGGTATGTCAGGACGTGCTCCTACGGGTCGCCTGTACCGTCAAACCTTCTCATGTCAGGGGCTTTAATGTTGGGGGGAAGAGGTTCGTTCATGATATTGGGGGTAAAGGGCGGAGTGAGGGAAATCCGGGGGATCACGACGTGAGTGCCATGTTCCTTCCACCGCACCAACTCATCTATTTTGGTGTTAATCGCATCTAACCACCCCGCCGGGGGGCTAGGACTGGCCCGTGTCGTCGGCCCCGGGGGTCGATACGCACTTTCGCCTTCGGCTTCTTCCAATCCGGCCTCGCGAGCGTCAGCCCTTCGCGGCCCTCGGCCACGTGGTACCACTATCGGGCCCACCGGGGGCTGCTCAGAGTGAATCACGTTGGCTCGTTCACCACCTCCGCGTCCCCCGTCCTCAGCGCGAACCGAGGCGGGTGCTTCCTCCGACACCTCGCGGCCGGTGTCCCGCCCGTCTCCGCTACGTGGGGGGTTAGGCGGGCGCTCTCCTGAGGGGTTGACCATCTCGGCGTACCTCGGAATTCTGTTTAGAGTGGTAGAGACTACGAACACGGGCTAATCGTAGCGAACCCCACAAACGGTGCCAATGATGATTTTATTAGGACCGGGTCCACCATAAACCGAGTACAGAGAGTACAGAACGGGGGGTAGGGCGCTAGGCCCAACACGATATGTATAGAAGCCCGAGGTACAGGCCCAAGAACAGCAACCCAAACACAAAGGACAAGGCCCACAAGGTGGGCTATAGCTAACTATGCTACTGGCAGGAATCGAACCCAGGTGACTGGATTGAGAGTATGGGACCAAGATCACTAGACTGTAGTGCTTGTCGTGTCTGAATTGCCCCCTTAGCCAGAGATCCAGGGCTCCTATTTATAACAAACCCCCTTCCTCCATTAGCGTCCACGTGTCCCATGCAATCCATCCCCACTTCCCCACTCCGCTTGTCCCTCGCCATTTACACCACGTTCTCCGCCTTTCCCGACACCACTGCCTGGCCGCCGGCGCCAGCCCCCGCCCGGTCGGTGTCGTCGCTGGGCCACCGGCGCCGGCCCCCACCTGGGGCCGACCGTGGCCCCCCGCGCGCCAGGCGCTGAGGCCACGCTGGCCCGCGCCCAGCGCGCGCTGGGCACGCCACGGCCGACCGGGGCCAGCGCCCCGGTCGGCGGCCGGGTTTGGCCGCCGGCGCCGGGTGGCGCCGGCGGCTCCTCCTGGCCTTCCGGCCCAACTTTGTCCCCCCCCCCCTTGTTGGCCCAATTCCATAAGCCCTCTGCGTCCATGGCCCACACCCAATATCCCCATCAATTATTATTATTATTATTATTATTATTATTATTATTATTATTTTATATATATATATATATATATATATATATATATATATATATATATATATATATATACTTATTTTATTGAAAGTGAGACCCATTTTTAAAAGTGAAAGAGATTTGCAGGGATATAGGCTCTGTTTGGCAGAGCTTATTTAGGAGCTCTCCTAATAAGCTATAAGCTCTGTTTGGTAATGTTCCAAAAATAAGCTCCTAGCTTAAAATAAGAGCTTATTTTGGAACGCTATTTTAAGTAGCGTTTCAAAATAAGCTCCTAGCTTTCTAACTTTTTTTCCATCTTTATCCTTATTATTTTAAAGAAATGACATAATTTACCCTTCCCAATTAAAATACTTTTCTCTTCTCCTTTGTTACTATTACTATTACTATTACTATTACTATTATTATGAGATTTGCAACAATATTGCTACTTCATTATGAGATGCTAGATCATGATTATGCTAATAGTTTTATTTCAAAATGTTAATTTTGTTTAAAGACAAAATGTTAAATTTTAATATGTAAACAAACTAATTTAAATTTTATGAAGATGTTCTTTTTAGTCTTTTTACATTTATCAGCTTATCAAAAAGCTATTTTTACCAAACACTTTCAATCATAACAGCTAGCTTAACAGCTCTTCAGTTTTCAGCTCCGAGCTTATAGCTTTTCAGTTTTTAGCTCCTTTTCAGCTTTCAGCTCCTAGCTTATAGTTTTTCAGCTAGGTCTGCCAAACAGAGCCATAGAACAAATAGTAAAGAATTTGTAAATTTGATGATGTGGAAGGTTGACCTATTTTAGAAAGTGAGAGAGATTTGCAGGGATAAGGATAGCCTGAGAGAGAATGGGTTTTATCTTCCTCCAAGTGAAGGGTTATTTATGGACCCTAAGGAGAGAGAACATTTTTAAAAAATCTGCAAAAAAGCGCGTTTAGCGCACTGATTGTGTCTAGCTGGTGCGTAAATTGCTAGGCACTTTTTTTCCTTTTGCGTCAGACTTTAGTTTTTTTTTTCTTTTTCCTTTTTTCCTTTTTCTATTTCCTTTAATTTGGCGGTTTTTACAATGCCAAATAGGATAGAAAGGAGATGGAAGAGGTAAAATAGAAGAAAAAAAAAAAAAGGAAATCAAAATCTGACATACATTGCAGATAAAGAAATAAAAAAAAAATTATTGTTTCCATGCACCGAACTGGCGCGTGAACTGCTGAGCGCATCAGTGCGCCTCACGCGCTGATGGGGAAGTTTTCTAACTTTATTAACTTTAAGTGGACCCCACATAAAACCTTTACTTGTAGGAATTAAAACTATCCAAAACCCTCTTCTCCCATTTGTTCAAAAATCATCACTAAATTTTTAAAGTTTGCAAAACTCATCCAAAAATCCCTATTGAGAATGCCCTAAAATCATGAAAAGCATATTTGACAGTAAACAAATATCAACTTGTGTCATGTAGGATTGACTTTGTACTAAAAGTTTAATTTGATAATTAAATTATATATTCCGTATTTATATATTATATGTTCAATAGATTCAATCTAAAAGTTTGAATACTTTGTACATTATATGCAAATTGAGTAAGTCTTGTGTAAGATTGTCTTACGTGAGATGCATATACTTTTAATTAAAATATAGGAGTAATAGTTTTCTAAAATCATCTAACGTGGGATGGTCTCGACCAAAAACTTATTCTATGAGAAGATGAAGATTAATAATTTAAGGGAAAATGATCAAATCCGCGTCCAACTTTTGACAAAAATAGCATTTAAACTCTCGAACTTTAAAAGTTTTGCAAATTATATCGTGCACCAGGGCGCACAATGCATTGTGCATCCTGGCCAAAACGACGTCATGTCGTTTTGTATCTATTTTTTTTTTAGAAATTCCGTTTCTCGTTTCTGCCGTCAACTTCTATTTAAAATTTAAAAAAAAAAAAAAAAAAAAAAACCATGTTCCGAATGTACATAATTGTATAGTAGAATACACATAAACTCATAGCATAATACACATAATCTAACATAATACATAATACACATAAAATCTTAACAGAATACACATAAACTCTTAACAGAATACACATAAACTCTTAACATAAAAACGACGTCGTTTTGGGTAGGGCGCACAATGCACGTACAATGCGCCCTGATGCACGATATAACGATTGAAAAAGTTTCAATTAAGTACCTTAACTTGTAATTTTTGATGCATCAAGGCCCATTAGCTAGTAATCCTATCAGATATACTGGTTAAATTATTTAGGAATAAGGTTCAAATTGACCACTGAACGTAATATGAAAATGCAATTAGGTCACTGAACGAAATAAAAGTGTAATTACGTCACGGAACACCCCAAATGTATGCAATTTCACCTGATAGCAAGTTACTATCAATTTTAACAGGTTACCTGCTTATAGGAGTGTCAAAGTAGGCCGAAGCCCGCGGGTTAGCCCGCACCCGCCCTGCGATGGGGTGGGTTATGGGCCGCAAGAAATTAGGCTCGCGAAAATGCGGGCCTAACGGGCATGGCCCGCGGAGGGCCAGAGCCCGCGCGGGTTGCGGGCCGGCCCGCGAGCCAGGTCATATTTAAAAAATAAATAAATAAATTATATATATAATATCTTTTTTTTAAAAAAAAAATCATATATATAATATCTTAATGCTTAGGCAGTATGTAGATCTGACTATCTAAGAGTACGCAGAATGGGAGAAATCCAATAATTCAATAATCCTTCGCCAATTCTTAATTCAATAATTCTTAGAGTACATAGTTCTTCGGTTCTCCCGTCTTCATCCGCCTCGAACTCTATCAAACAATTACTAAAACTAAATCATCAATTCATACATATTTATGAATATAAATTTTTAGACAATTCATTTTGACTTTTATTATTATTATTATTATTATTATTACTAGTTATAATGTGTGCATTGTGCGATTAAATTAATGCCTAACTAGAAAATTAAAATAAGTAAATACTTAATCCAATTTTTAAATATTAAATAATTAATATAAAATAAAAATGATTATTTTCCATAGTAGTTGTAAATATGAGTATTGCTGTGTTAGTAAAAATCATCTACTACGTTTATTATAATGGCTTAAGTTCGATTTTTACTATTACTAACATGCCTGTTGGTGACTTGGTGTAACCTGAGACCTGTAATTAAGTTGTAAGAGACGCGCATCATCTTATTCGTTCACACTCTCATGAGTAAGCTAAGTCCGATCCTGACCTTTTGACACCAATATATGCTGGAATCCTAAATTGAGATAGTTTCTACATCGTCACCTAAACCTTTTATAATAATAAAAAAAAAAAAAAAAAAAAAAAGAGAGAAAGGCCCTGTTTGGTAAAAAATTGGCCTATAGGTCAATTTTGGCTTATTCAACTACTATTAATTGTTTGATTTAATTAAAATATCAATATAAATATTTGGTTAATTAGCTTTTTGCAACTCCAAGAGGCTAAAATTCAAAAAGTTACTCCAAGTAACTTTTTTAATTAGCTTTTTGAGAAAAGAAATTATACCAAACAGCTATCAGCTAACAACTAATTTATCAAACATTTTTCTACAATCAGCTAATATTATCAACTATTTATACCATCTAATTAACACAATCAGCTAACAGACAGCCATTTTACCAAACAGGGCCAAAATGTTACTATTATTGGACACTTCCTCTTTGATGATCTTAGATATTTGGATTGATATTATCTGATGCACTATATCACTTCATTAATTGCCTTCTCATCTAGCTTGCTACTTCCCCAATAATCTCTTCCACCTCCACGGATAGACAGATATACTATTGTGCGGTTTGCAGAACAAATATAATGGTCACTTCATCATCAAGATCCTTCTTAGCTAGGTTTACTACTGATTATTAATTTATTATTATGATCATTCTGTGCTTACAAGTCTGTTGTTCAGATGGACTTAGTTATGGCGGCAGAATAGTGAAAATGCAGGAAAGGATGAAGAGCAAGCAAGCTTTACTGGATTGATCAAAAAGGACCCCAAGTAATACGAGGATTATGGCAATGGTAATTGCATTTGTTTTACTATTTTTTTTATTTTTTTTTTGTGTTTTGGAATAAAGATTTAAATCATGAAGGAATGAAAAACTAAATGAGTTAATGGCATATGATGTACTCCGAGTATAGTGATTTTAAAGTAACCACCCATGGTCCTTCAACTTTCAAAATTTAACTAGTCATGGTCTTCTTGGAAGGAACCAGGAGTGTTTAAAATTTGGTAATTAAGGACCATGGATGGTAACAATTTGAAAGTCGAAGGATTACTGATCAATTTGAAAGTTTAGAGCTAAACGTGACAAAATCACTATACTCAAAGGATCCTAGATGGTATTAACTCAATGAAAAAGTCATTTATAAAATTCTACTTTTGCTTTTTGGTATGAAAAATGAGGAAAAAAAATATTAAAAAGAAACGGTTTGCTCCATTTTTAAGAACACAAACACACACACATATATACACGGGAAAAGCTAGAGCGCCAATCAGCACCATGTCTCATTGTACTTATTCAAAGACTCAAAAAGTGTGGGATAATGTTCATTTTATACTTGGTAGAGACTCAAAGTCTTCAACATTCACTTTAACCTGATAGGCTGGTATTTGAATATAAGAGTCATGAATCTCAATTGACATCTTAAAACTTTCTATATATATATATATATATATATATATATATATATAGTGTGGGATAATGTTGATTTTATATTTGGTACAGACTCAAAGTCTTCAACATTCACTTTAACGTGGTAGGCTGGTATTTGAATATAAGAGTCATGAATCTCAATTGACATCTTAAAACTTTCCATATATATATATATATATATATATATGAAAGATCATATAAGAACTCGTTTACAATTAATACTAAAAACTAATCGGCAAATTATGATGTGCATCCGTATGCACTATCCATGGTGCATACGGATGCAAAAACGACGTCGTTTTATTAAAAACGTGCGTCTCCCCTTAAAAAAAAATCAGGTTCGATTCCCAACAACAACATATGAACTAAAATTCCAAAATCGATGAACTATAATTCCAGAATCTATGAACTAAAATTCCAGAATCTAATCTATGAACTAATTCCAAAATGAATGAACAACATAATGTTGTTGCTGGGAATCGAACCTGAATTTTTTTTTAAGGGGAGACGCGCGTTTTTAATAAAACGACAAGAATGGAATAAGTAGATGACAAGAATGGTGCATACGGATGCACAGCATAACTACTCAAACTAATCTCAACTATCTATTTAGTTAGATCAAATAGTTCTAAACTAATAAAGGAAAAAAAACAATTGAGTGGCATTTTTATAACTTTCTTCAACTTTAAAAGTAGATGAAAAAATTTTGAAAAGTACACAAGAATGGAATAATCCTGACACGTGTGCCTGCACTGACCTACTTGAAATTGGGAACAGTCGGGGATAAATGTAGTGTTGTAATTACCATATCAAATAAAATTTAAAAAAAAAAATGATATGCACTCAAAGAAACCTTCAACTTAAACTTTGGTGTCATCTGTTATCCAGTGATATACTGGGCATATAAATATGCAGTTATGAGTGAATTGATTAGTAGCACAAACCCTTTGTATCATATAAAAACTGTGAACTGAAGGTTCCTGAGGTACATATATGTCTCTAGGCCAGGCATACACTATACCATATAACTATATATCATCAATGAAAGAATTGCTCTGTCTTCCCCATCTACAAATCTCACCGCTTATATGAAGGTTAGGTTCCAGGACACTGCAATCTAGCGGCCGCCTTCCTCGCTCAAGCCAAGGAGCATACCTTGTCTGGAAAAAGACGAGTTCATCGACTGTTAGCATGTGTACTGGTCACAGCTAAACGAGCCAAGTAAAAAAACCAAGAAATTTTTCCACGATAATTTGTGTAGAATTCTCTGCTAGTGAGATTAAGTGCAGACAAGAAGATCTGAGTGTATTTACCTTGTCTGGAAGTAGCACAGCATATGCGACTATCGTCTATATAGGTTGTTTGAAGGCCCATCATCCATGATCCTACTGATGTATCTTCATAAGCATAAGCCTTCAATGATGCACTGTGTAAAGGCAAAATGTGAAACTGAGAAAACTACTATTGGATTTGATTATTGAATTGAACGAAGAGAAAAAGTATCTGAAAACTCACTGTTCTCCATTTTTTCAGAAAACTAGAAAATGCTCCTGTTAATATACAGGCCCTAAATCTACATTCTTAACATTTGACTTTCAACTCATGTTAATGACTATTCATAATATAAAACAAATTTCTTTTAAGCAGTCAGTTAAAAATGCAAAAAATAAAAAAGGTAAAATCACAATAATAGAACATTCAATGAGTAATAATCGGTGTTCAAACTTTACAGTGCCTGTTGTACTTTCTTCTTATTGATATCCTCCATTACAAAATGTAGTCATACAAAAGGAAAAGAGTTAATTCCATTTTTGGTCCTAGATTTATAGGTGGCAATCCACTTTTAGTCCTTTTTTATTAGAACAACCACTTTTGGTCCTAGTATTATTGTGGCATGACCATTTTTTGTCCTTTATCAACAAAACAGTTTAAATATCGTTAAATACAAGGGCATTTCGGTCTTCAATTATGGACTTTTTCAAAAAAATAAACATAAAAAATATAGCGTGTTCAACCTACTTTGTATAAAAAAGATTGAAATGTCTTTGTATTTAACGATATTTCAACGATTTTGTTGAATGAGGACTAAAAATGGTCATACCACAATAATACTAGGACTAATTGAGGATGTTCTAATAAAAAAGGACTAAAAGTGGACTGTCACCAATAAATCTAGGACCAAAAATGGAATTAACTCAAAGGAAAACTATTATCACACCACAAACAAGTTGAAAACTCATGTCAAGCACCAAAATAAATAAATAAAACAAAAGATATGTGAGTACACATACAATAGTAGCAGATATCAATAAATGGTTTCCAAATTTAAGATGATCATACTACAAATGAACCAATTCCACTTTTGATCCCTCAAGTATATTGGAAGTTGGCATTTTCACCTCTCCAATCAACTTCAAGATTGTATAGGGCATGGTTCACTAACTTTCATGAACACAAACAAGACGGTGTTTGTCATCCCATTACTTTTCCTTATAAGTGGATGGAAAAACTAACAGGAAGATCAATGCCATGTGATTCCCAAAAGACATGGCCGATTGACTTTCATGAATTGGACTGCTTTCATTCTCCTATTACTTTCCGTTAAAGTCGGAAAGAAAAGCTAACTGAAGGATGAATGTAATCTAATTCATAAAATTTGAGGGGCCATGTCTCTCCAATTTTAAAGCTGAGGATGTAAAGTGGAAGTGCCACTATGGTGAGGAATCATAGTGGCATGCTTTCTAACAGAATTAAGATAATGGTTTGGAGTTAAATGCATCTACCATAACTCACCTGTTAATGTTAATATGTTGAGCCAAATCTTTTGTGAGTATGAGAAGTGAACCAGCTGCATGACGGAAGTACCTGAACACAGAAGAGATTTAAGAGAGAGGGAGGTACAAAAGTTACTGTATTGATTTTCAGAGGCCTTATATAGGCATATAGGAATTACCACGATACTGCTAAACTGGATTTAGAAATTAATGCATAATTTTAAGAATAAGTATTGAATCCTGATTACTCATAAGTTCAGTTACTTTTCTGGTTTTCATTCTTAGCACAGGCAAAAATAATCAAGGACCAAGACTGCATCAATTTTTTAGAAGACAATGCAAATCTTTCAATTCTAAAATATAGCCCCATAATTAATCCTAGAGCCCATTCCAGGCGCATATTAAAGAGAGCATTCTCTTTTTTAATCTGTGCATTCTTAACAGAATATATTGAGCTCATTGTACACTTAGAAATTCCCTTTGTTGTAACCTAATAAGGTAAACTTCTACTGAAATTTATGAACTATTTGTCTGGAATTTTTTAAAGTTTTGAGTATGTAATTCTCCTTTTCCCATAATATCAAGAATGCAAAGGAAATTTGACCAAAGATTTTCCAACAAAACCAAAGTCATATATATGCCACATAGAAACTACCATTAACATAGGATACTATTAAATTCATGGCAACCAAAAAGTTCACTTACGTTTTTTCATCCCCAAATTTCCACCATTCTGGCTCATACCACGTTTTTCCCCTGGTAGCATGGTAAATTTTAGATGTTTTAACTTAAGCCAAGACGTTGAAATTATGTAAAATTAAAATAAGAATATTACTCTTCAGCAACAACTTCACCAGACTTCATGCACCCGATATAAGCACTGCCTTGATCACGACGGCTTTGAAGAAGTTCAATCAACCCATCTGAAAAATTTACAAGCAAATAAGTTTTAAAAAGTCAAATAAAGGGTTCACCATCACCCTGCACCCAAAATAAAGCACTCTTAACCCCCCCCCCCCCCCCCCTCCCCCCTAAAAAAAAAAAAAAAAAAGAACATATATACATCTTAACGAAAGGTTAATCCCAACTATCAATACCTCAACTATTGTGTGTGTGTGTGTTTTTTTTTAACTTTTGGTCCTCAACTTCAAAACCTACCAATAACCCTAATGTAAGACTAAAAGTAGCACATTTTCAATAGTCAAGGGCTGAATCTGGTCGCAAGCAATAATTTATGGACCAAAATTGGATTTAACTCACTAAATAATAAGCCAAAACATTTACCTAGATCAAGATCAATATTGTCATCAACTTTTACATAAAAATCAGCATCCCAATTTTGAACTGCTGTACTGAAGAAAAATTTTGCTTTCTTGGGCAACTCCTCTTGAGCTTCTTCATGTCCTTCCTATAAAATAAAGTAAAACACAATGACACCTTTTGCGAATATCATGTTTACCAGTTGCAACAATAATTTTAAATGATGAAAACCAAAAAATCAGAATAATGGAAATAGGCTTAGATGTTTCACAACTATACTGGAGTAGCATCCACCTTACCCCATAAGCTGATCATTTCTTATTAGCTACTACTTTGTTGCTATTTATATCCAGAGTTACAACATAATATTTCTTAACTGTATCATTTAGACTATTTCATAGACAAACATCAACTTAAGAGACAAAAAGAAGATGTGTCTGAGGAGTTGAATTGAACACTGTATTGTCAGTTGTCACAAAAAAATAAATAAATAAATAAATAATAAATAAAATAAAATAAGAAGACCATTTACAAATAAGAAAAGCTTATTTAACTTACAAGAATCAAGAAATCCTCCGTCATCTTGTTTTCTTCATCAATATTGCGGTCCAAGCTATCACCTCTATTAGGACTGCGAAATTCAAGATATCCACTTTTATTCCAGTTTTAGTCAAACGTAATAGTGCAAAGGGCATAAGAAAGAGGCATAAGCAAATGAGCAATTATAAAAGTAGTGAATGGTGAAACAGAGTCACAGGTGAAAAGGAAGACCTTCGACCAACTACAAATCTTATGATCACTCCTCTTTCTTCAAGTTTTTTTAAAGCATCACCTGGCAAAGCAAATAAAAAATTGAGCACATCTACCACATAACAACATTAGAGATATGATAATAATGTTCACAAAGAGTGATAACATTTTTTCATTGCTATGAGGTTTTATTTCTAGTTTTTCAATGTTGTCATTTTTAATGTAATTTTTCAAGATTGCCATATAACATATATAAAAAAGTAATTTTGGGCAACAACAAAATCCAAACTAGATAATCTGGTAAAACAATGGTCTACTTTCTGCCTTCCACTATAATTTAATCACAAGGAAAAAATGTAAAAATACTAATCAATGTCATTATTAGTCATTGTCAGGAAGAAAAGGCAATTTTTGCTCAAAGGGCAGTATATAAATTATCTGTAAATCTCAAGCACAGATTTCTAAAGAGCACAAAAAAAAAAAAAAAAGCCTCAGTCATTTGATAAATAAAATATCATCACACAAAACAAAATTTTGATCTTATACATGTGTGAAATAATCCTGTTTCAAGAGCATTCATATTATATGGAATTTTATAATAGGTTTCAATGGAACCTCCTAATAAAAATTTGTCCCAAAATTTTGAAAAACAAGACAATATTTTTGTTGGATTCACTAAATAAGACCATCATTGAACTCTTAACAGATCATTCCCACGATGAGATATGTTACAGAGTGATTAAATTGATGTTTCTCTGATTTTGTGAGTTCCAAACAAAATCAAACGCATTAAATTAGTAAACAAATGATAGTTATTGTTCTCATATCAGCAGCATATAGTCTGCTGTAATTTCCTCATATTTTAGCCCCTCAAAATCTACTGGTAAAAGATGAGATTTCAAGGCATAAGTCATGGGAAACCACAAAAAAGTTAGAAAACAAATGAATGTATAAGGTTGACCAACCATTTTGCATCCAGGACCCTCTAAACACATTCCGTCTCAATCGACTTCCAAAACCAGTGTAGACTCCTATAACAGCAAGAAGCTTTTTGCTGGAAGATGAACCACTTTGCTGCAACTGATTCCTAAGGTAGCCCTGACTTTTAGCTAAAGTCAATTCCATTTCAATTTCAACTATCCTCCTTTCCAAATCTCTGACAAAGTAATATAATATGTCAATGTAAGAACCGAGTGACCTCAATTATAAGTATATTCCAAAGTGGAAGTGGAAGGGATTGTAAAGAGATGTACTTGCACCCTAACACCATTAGCTTGTCTTCAACAGTCAACACTTTTGGTCTCTGCCATAAGAATTAGGGTTTAATTAGAAGCAACCAAATTACGCACCACAAGCTAAACAAGCCCTCATGACTTATTGAAAAAAAAAATTCATAATAGAATAAGCAAAAAGAGAAGAAACCAATTTTGAATCAAACCATTACACTATTCATTTCCCAAAAGCACTACTCTACACTCTCAAAAAAAGCAAATTCTCAGATACTTTATAACAGTTTCCAATATATTTCACCATCTCATTCCCAATTTAATTCCCACTGCCATTACAGCAAGCATTAACCATGATAACAATATTCACTAAACTTGAATTTCTAAGCTTCCTAGCCATCAAGCAAAGCCTTGGGTACTTGCAATACAGAAAGGCAGAAAATAAAATAGGAAATGCAAACAAAACCTGCTCTGAGTTCTTTTTCAACAGACTAGTCAACAATGTTCTGTTCTCTGCATCTTGCCACAACCTATTTTCAAACAAAGAATAGATATATAAATAAAATAAAATAAAATTCAAAATACTTAACAAGACAATCACATTTTGGCGATGCATTGTCCAAAATCGATTACAACACTTGAACTGAAAAGCATTGTCCAAAATCGATCTTTGACCATGAATTTTTTGCTAACATAAAAGGGAAAACTAACACTTAAATTAGAGATCATAATTAACGAACCGTCCGGCAACATAGAGCCAAGCGAAGCAGGAGATGAGTGCCATGACGAGAGAAGGTTTTGAGGCTTGGTTCGACTTCGATTTCGAACGCCTGTCCGATTTCGAAGACGTGGTTGTAGGCAAGATGCTATCCATTTCCTAATTACCGGAGAATAATTCGGACTCGGTATGAGCCGGTCAGACGCGGTGATCGGAGTGTGTGGCGAACCGGCGGCGATTCGAGGGGCCCGATCTGACTCAGTAACGAGTAAACATGGATACACAACTGCAGATTGTCAGGGAAACGAGAAACGAGAGTGGTTCAGACAGATGAAATTGTGTTGTTATGTAGGAGAATCCGAGAATATCTGAAAGAAATGCAGATTGCTCAGGTTCAATTTTCTTCCTTTTTTGAATAAGGGTCAAACAGGGCAATCACCTGCACACAAATTATAATTATGCCATTGAACTCAAAAAAAAAATGCAATTAAGTCATTTTGTCAAATAATTTTTTTTTTTTTTTGCTTCATTGTCAAATAAAGAGTTAATGAACGATTTAGTCCCTCAATTATTAGCGAACTGTCAATGTAGTCCCTCAATCGCTTATTCATCGATTTGGTCCCCGAAAATAATTATTTTTAGTCGATTTAGTTCCTCCGGCCATCCACGGAAGACGGCCGGAGGGACTAAATCGATTAAAAATAATTGTTTTCGGGGACCAAATCGATGAATAAGCAATTGAGGGGCTACATTGACAGTCTGCCAATAATTGAGGGACCAAATTGTTCATTAACTCTCAAATAAATATTTAGTGTGTAAACTTTTTACCTATTTAGCTTTTCGTCGCACGGACTTAACTCACTAATTTAGTAGGTAGTACTTAAGAGAAGAGACCAAAGTTCAAACATCGGCTGCAATGTGGGTTAGTGTGTGAGGGGCGCTTAGGGTTGGAAATACAACCTGCGCTTGGGGTTGGGAATTCAACCTTTAGGGAGAAGCTTCTTCGCCAATACTTTTATTAAATAGTTGTTAATTTTAAAAATGACTAAGTAATTTCATAATTGTCAATGACCTTGTGGTCTAGTTACTCTCCAAAATGGGAGATCATGGGTTCAATTCTGGCAAGCAAATAAATTTTTTCCCCCTTGGCCTTAAGACTTTGGGAGCAAATTCTATAATGTTGATTACTTAAAGTTAAAAATGAAGTGTCAAGCATCTTTGGCATATAGTGACTTTTTTATGTGGGATGTCATATGTTTGAACAAATACTACAATGTAATAGAGTTAGAAGCATTAAAAAAAATTAAAAATGAAGAGAACTATTTTAATTTTTTATATATATAAATTCTATTTAGCATTTTTTAAAATTTTTCTATAAATATGAACTCCGTATCAAAAAATTTAGTAAGTAATTTATAAATATCTTTTTATAAATATGAACATCGTATCAAATAATCTAGTAAGTAATTTTTTATGTAGGTTAAATGGTAACAATATATATATATTCACTCGGGATGTTTTTTTGAAGGTAAAAAGCGTCAATGCATTAATGAATGAATATCGAAATAGAATCTGGAAGGACAGAATCCCAGTACATAGAGTTAGCATAATCAAAGACTGTCGTAGCTAGAGTGTGGGCATGTAAATTTAAAGATCTAGAAACTAAGTTGATAGAACATAAAGAAAACGAAGACATAGCCACCCTACATTGTTCAATGATCGTTTCAACGTAAGAAAGAATGGGTGAATGTGCAGAAAGCAAACAATTATGAAGCTTAGAACAATCAGTGAAGAGGTCCACATATAACTCATGTCGATTGTTAAGTCACGATAACACCTCCTTGCATGTCAATGATTCCGCCATAAGCGGCGAAAAACAACTTCCAGCCTGTCCATTGAATGCTGCCACGAAGCCCCTATGTTGCGAGAATAAAACCGCACCAAACGACGCCCTCCCCGCCGATGGTCTGAACGATGCGTCGAAATAACATCTTGAACGGGTGCTGCCTAGCTATGCAGTGGCAAGTAACGGTTGTTGCTGCATACCGCGCTGGTGATGCCATACCTTGCCCGCCAGAGATGGTATAGGACGGCTACAATGAGACCAACATTATCTTCAGTCATGGAAATCATCATGTTTCTAAACCACAAAGAAAAGGTGGTGCCAACAATATTTGTGATTAGTATAAGGGACTCATTCCAAACCATTCTAGAATAACCACATAATACAAGAGAATGCATAATATTTTCATGAGCAAGACCACACATAGGGCATGTCGGATCCACTTCTACCCTCTTTATAAGCAAGTCCATAGTGGTGGGAAGAATATCACTAATAGCTCTCCACAAGAAAGTCCTCAACTTGGGGGGGGGGGGGGGGGGGGGGGGGGGGGTCTTTTATTCTCCAAAGGCCAATCCATTTATCCAAACTCCCTAGGGCATTCTCAATACTTCCAATAATATGCTTGTAGCCACACTTCACAGAATAATTGCCTCTAGGATCATTTAGCCAATACCAAGAATCCTCATAATTTCGGCTAACAGGAATCCTAGAAATGCACTCCACATCCTCAGGTATAAAAATATCAGATAGTATGTCTTGGTCCCAAGTTTTAGTATTCTGGTCAATCAAACCTAAGACCAAAGAACCATTCAGTTCATTAGTTATAATGGTCTGAACCAAGGGGCTAGGGTCATTAGGAAGTCATGGTTGACCCCAAATTAGCGTGGAGTTCCCATTACCAATCCTTCTTCTCACACCACTACAAATTAGACTATGGGCGGCCATAATGCTGCGCCAACAGTAACTCGGGCAATTCCCAATAAATACATCCATAAAAGAAGTTCTTGGAAAATACCTAGCTTTGTAGACTCGAGCTGCCAATGAATTAGGATTAGTCATAAATTGTCAAGCTTGTTTCTCTAACATGGCCAGATTAAAAACACGCAGATCCTTAAATCCCAAACCTCCAAACTTCTTGGGGACACAGAGACGGTCCCAAGCCTTCCAATAAATTCCCCTTTCGTTACCACTACCCCACCAATACCTGTTCATGGTCCTCTCAATAGATAAACAAACAGACTCAGGAAGCAGAAAAACACTCATAGAAAATGTAGGCATAGATTGAGTCACACTTTTCAAGAAAACCTCCATACCAGTCTGAGAAAGCAGTTTCTTATTCCACGAACCAATCATGTGTTTAATCTTGTCCTCAATATATGAAAACACAACTCTTTTATTCCTCCCCACAAAAGAAGGCAAATCCAGATATTTTCCAAAATTGGGAGCCTGAGACACACCTAGACCTGCAGCCACAACTTCTCTATCCTCCTCAGTGGTATTTCTGCTAAAACATACACTAGATTTATGAAAATTAACTGCCTGACCAGACAGGCTCTCGTATAAACTCAGACACTGCTTAACAACACCTGCCTTGTAATGCCCCCCAAAAACAAGACCTAAAAACAAGTCTTAACACATGCAGATTAACAACAAAACACTAGCACAACGGAAGATAGAAAGATAACTGGAAAGGAATCCAAAACGGGGTGTTATGCCACGTATACCACACTTGGCATACGCTACGGCGACAATCTGCAACTGTATCACTATCCCAAAAACAACAAACTAGAACAATCTAAAGACATTGGCACACAGGCGTCAACAACATTGTCTAAAGATACAGGTGCTAAGCTACCGGCTCTAGACATCGCGCTCGACTACGCATCACCTGAAAGATACAAAGATAAACATCGGGGCGACGCCCGGTCAGCGAAAGATGCTGGTAACCCACCAATACCGTTAAGTATCATAAATAAGTAGATATATAATATGAAAACCATTTTCGAAACGGAATACATATATATAAGTCAAAAGCCAAGATCAAAAGACAACACAAGACTCACCACTCACAAGGATAACACCGGGAACACGTCCCAACCACAAAGGTTAACCACACACAAGGATAAAGACTCACCCAATGGCAACACATGCCAAAACACCACAAGACTCCGTGACTACACACGTCACGAGAGAAGAGAACTCACCACACGGCTACACAAGCCCTCGTGACATCACCCATCACGAGTTGATATGCCTTCCTTATGCCCTGTTCCAACCTTATGGCTACCCCCAACCTTGTACCTTCAAAGCCAACCATTACCTCCGGAAAACCCCTGTACTGCCAAGTCCAACCTTATTCCTCCGGGACCGTCGTCCCCCACCTATAACCACCAACGAAAACCCACCAATTCACGGAAACACATGCCCAGATAACACAATGTTATCCCCCAAACACGTGGACTCAGCCACAACTCCATAATCACGTCACAGCCACCACGAGGACCGCTGCAATACCTTGGTGACTAGCGTCCCATACCACTAATCGTGCAATCCAGGAAGAGCCACACACGCACCACCACTCACACGAAACAAGCAACGGATTGCAAAAGAGGTAAGAAACATACTCAATCAAGAGACGGGTCACCACCCAACGACAACAACGACGCTAGCATTAAGATAATAACTAGCAAGCTCAACAACGGGGAAACTCAAGATAGTTCCGAGGAACACACAAGACACCACATGGTTCAACGAAACACAATGTTGAACACTTAGCACGATTCACAACACCAAAGATCCTACATGGATACCTACCATAAAGCTCTAGACCTACGAAACATCAAGAAGACGCTCAAATAGTTCCACAAAAGAACATCGGGAGGCCAAAAGATCAAAGACCGAGACAAACAAATCAGGGGGAACAAATCTCATCTCAACACCATTGTGTTCCCCGCGGGTGGACCCACGGGTAGTGCCCCACCCGTGATCCCGCCTGCGGGTACAACACCCACAAGGCAACACGTTCTCGCGGGTAGGCCGGCGGGTGGTGCCCCGCCCGCCGTTCCGCCCGCGGGTACGCCCCTGTACCACAACAAATCCCTTCGGGGATTTTCTCCTCCAAACACAAATTCAAGTCCAAAACATGCCAAATCTCACCAAACACAACAAAATGACTTGAACCAAGGAAAATGCCAAGCAATGACACAAAGGAATCCTAAACACAAGCTCTAGATATGCAATATCACAAGATAAATGCATAAACTCTCACATTTCATAGCAAAACACAAATAGAAGCCAAGAAATCATATATAGGTAAGCAAAATAGGTTTTGTAGAGCATGGATTACCTCTTGAAGACCAAACGACTCTTCTTACACCACAACAAGCTCTCCACTAAGCTCACTAGCCAACCACTTCAAGATCAAACCAAAAGATCATAAAGATCCAACCTTTAAGAAAAAGACAACTAAGCTGGAACCAAAAAGACTAGACAAGCTTAGATCTTACCCTTCTAGATGCCAAAATAGAGGAAAGATTGAATCTTGGGAGCAAAACTTGGGATCTTGACAAAGGCTTCTTTTGGCTTGACGAACAAGCTACTCTTCTATTCTAGAGAGAAGGTAGAGATATTTTCTAGGAAATGTAAGGGAATGAAATGAAGAAGTCTTCTAGGTTTAGGTTACAAAACTAGCTCTTGGTGAAAAGACAAGGATACCCTTACTAACTCTTAAAAAGTGTAAGGAACAAGGGAACTCCTCTCAAAGCACAAGGTACAACACCACTTAAAGATTGAATAGTCAAATACTAGTCCTTGAGTATCAAAAAATCAGGATTTTAGGAATCAATTCCTCAAAAGAAATAGAATTAATTACTCAATTAATTCATGGTTTGGAGTATGAATTTTTGGGGTGTCACATGCCTCCTGAGCACTGACTTTAAAAAATAAGGGATTGTCATCTGCAAAAAATAAGTGGGAAATAGGCAGGGCTCCCCTCGCCACCCTGCACCCGTGGATAGACCCCTCTAGTTGGGCCTTCTATAACAACAAGGAGAGACCCTCGACACAAATAATAAATAAGTAAGGAGAGAGCGGATCACCTTGTCTTAAGCCACGGGTGGGTAGAACTGAGCCACTACTGACACCATTAACCATAATGTTATAGGATACAGTTGTGACACAAAGCATAATTAAATTCACCCATCGCACATCAAACCCCAAAGCTGTCAACATTTTGCGCAGAAAAGCCCATTCCATACGGTCATAAGCCTTAGCCATATCCAACTTCAAGGGGCCCCACCCCACAATTCCACACAGTCTTAGGGACACTCTTCTTCGGGATAAGCACAACATTAGTGTCATTGAGACCGTTAGGAAAGGAGGACATATTAAGGCAATTAATCACAAAAGCAGACAAATCCCCCCTACCACATCCCAAAAATGCTGATAGAAACTCGGATTCAATCCATCCGAGACAGGGGCCTTGTCAGGAAACATAGAAAATACAGTAGATTTCACCTCATCTAACTCAAACGGACAAAGGAGGAAGACATTTTGGCTTGGGGAAGCCCAAGGGGTGACTGAATCAAATAAAGGATCTTCACAAACAGCATTACTAGAGCAGAAGATATCATTAAAATAGCACAAAATTACAGAACGCCATGCACCCCCCTCTACCCAATCACCATCAACATTCTTAATTTTAGAGATCGTATTTATTTTTTGCGAGCAGAAGCATACTTGTGGTAGAACTTAGTATTAGCATTTGCACCTCGCAACCAATGCTGTTTGGCTCGCTGCATCCAAAAGACATCCTCATAGGCTTCCAAACGACAACTGCACATCAATTCTTTGGAACTCAGCCAAGGCAGCTGGGTCCCTACGGTCTCTGAGAACATCCTGGTCCTTGTTAAAATGCTTGATTTTCTCCCCGAATTTATGAAAATGATCACCATCCCACCGCATCAACTGCTTCCCACAACGCTGTTGGCAAGCCAACAGCCCACCATCTCTCCCCTCCTGCCATGCACTCTCAACCACCTCCCTACACCCCTCATCCAGTAACCAAGCCATCTCGAACCTAAAACCATTCGACTGTTTCCCTCCTTGCATGCGCACGACATTGAGATTAAGGAAACGGGTCGAATGATCCGAAGAACGAGCTAAAATATTCTCCACAACCACACTCGCCTACATGGCACACCACTCTGCACTAGCAATAACCTTATCCAACCTCTCTTCAACCCAGTTATCAGTACCCCTTCCCCTTTCCCAGGTAAAAGGATAACCCTTCATAGGCAACTAAACCAGACCACAGGCATCGATAACCTCCTCAAAACCACGTAGGAGGCCATCCAGATGTGGGTTACCACCCCTCTTCTCTTGTTGAAAAAGGAGATCATTAAAATCCCCTAAGACAACCCAAAGGAGCGTGGACCTGTCTACCAAAACTCTTAGAAGATCCCATGATTCCCCCCTCCCCCCCGCCCCCACTTCGCTCAGGGAAACCATAAAGCATGTCATACGCCAACACAAACTACCAGCACAACTAATCTCCACATCTACATGATTTTTAGAGAAACTTAACAATTTTGCAGTGTTATTTTTCCTCCAAAAAAGAGCCAGACCACCACTTAACCCTACATTATCAACGTAAAAAAAAAAAAGCCTTCGAAGCCAAGCTTGACACGGAGACGTTCGGCATGTATCCGCCCCACCTTGGTTTCCATCAAAAATACAAACTCAGGCTTCTTACAGGACACTAGGTACACAACTTCACGAACTGTGCGTGGATTGCCAAAGCCACGCCAATTCCAACTTAAGGAACTCATGAGGATGGGCGGGCCTGTGATCTAGAACCCACCGCAAACAAGTTTTTTGGAACCTCAGTCATAGTAACATCGCCACCATTCACTCCACCCCTTCTACCACCACCACCCGACAACTCTCGCCGCATCTTTGACACAGCCATGACCGCCTGATCAGCAGCCGCCACATTGTCGACTACCATATCCCTCGCTACAGACTCATGGCTACCGGACTGTACACTGTTCGACTTGCGCAATTTGCCAGCGACGTCCTTTGCATGCCCTCCCACTGGAATGAAACAATATGTGTGCAATCTCTCGTACTTAAAAGTAACCTAGCAACTGGTTTTGTCACGCTTCACCAACTTCATCCGACGCTTTAACGGCTTTGCAACCGGGATTGAAACCCTAATGCAGTAGAGCGACAACCAATGAGCTCCAAAGAAGTTGCCAATCTGCTCCAATACTAGCTCAGCCGTGTACCCTAGCCGGGGATCGTGTAGCTGCACCCACATATCAATGGAATCCAGAACCACCTCCACCGGCCGAACCCCCACCTCCATCTGCTTACAAACGAGAGTATTATTCTCGAAAGCCCAAGGAGCATCATCCAACATTCGTTGCACATCTGTGATATGGTGAAACACGAACATAAACAAGTTTGGTTGGAGCTCGGTGATTTGGACGCCCTTGACCGGTTGCCAAACGGATGCCATCACTTGACACATATACTCCACCTTCACCAACTTTGGAGTCAAGAACCGACTCACCACTGCCCATGTCTCCTCTACGCTGCCGTCGACCACTCCCACACCATCCCCTGTCGGCTCAAACCCTACCTCTTCCTCTTTTAAAACCAAGTCGGCCCACCTTGCGGTCAGCCCCGCAACTTCATCCGTTGACGTTGCCATGCAGAGAGCTTTGACATCGAAAGAGAGAACGAAACCGGCCAAATAACCGGAACAAACAAAGGAAAACTGAATGTGAAGCCTAAGAAACCCTAAGGCGAAGGCGAAACCCTAGGGCAAAGGCGTAACCCTAGACGAGCTAGAGAGAGAATTACACCAATAGTTTAATAGTGCATTAACTATCACACTACATACCAAAATCATCCTAATACAAATACAAGTTGTTTTCCGTGCATCCAATCATATTCTTTGATGAAATTGTAATTAAGGAAGGGACCACTCAACCAAAAACATTGAAAATTTATACATATTTTTTAAAACTAAAGGATAGGCCAAAATGGACCACTCAACCTAGAGTTCACTCAGGATATTATTTATAATGTTTAAATTTTTTATAAAATTACTTTTTAATATTCACTCCATATTGAAACATTATTTATAATGTTTAATAAAATAAAACTATTTATTTTCATTACTTGCCTATGTATTTATTAATTAATTTCGCTACAAGTTAAGAGAAAATTCAAGTAATAAATCAAATAAAAAATTAAATATAATTATACTACACATGTTTTAAATTTCTACTATTTTATTCATTATTACAATTAAAATTAAATTATTAAATTGAAATTTTTTGAAAGATTCACTGCTGAAAATTATGAAATTTCCGACCACTTGAAAAGTGATCTTAAATCAAGTCGAAAGCAAAAAGTGGTCAGAAATATCAACAAAAGTTTTTTTGGATACCAAAAGTGGTCGGAACAAGACTTTAGACTTGATTTAAGATCATTTTCAGATGGTCGGAAATTCCATAATTTTCGGCCGTAATTTTTAATAAGCAAATAAATAAATGACATTGACGATTTTTTTTTACATAAATTGTATTATTATTAAATGTAATAATATATCCTTACTGAAATTATTCTCTAATATATATTCACTATCTATGCCCCAATTTATTCAAATTCAACCTAATTACATTCAAATTCGTGTGTACGTATTAACAACGCCCTTGAAATAGATGCTCTTGAATAAGACTTATTGAAATTTGTCTAAATTAGTTTTGTTTTACGAGATGACCTTGTTTGGCAATTGGCGATTATTGGTTAGCAGTTAATGAATTGTGTTTGCAGTTTTGACAAACGAATTGTTTAAGCGGTTTATAGGGAAATATTTGGTAAAATTAACTTGTTTTATGATTAATGGTTAACATGTCAAAAGACCTATATAGACAAGCGTATATTTTATAAAAAATAATTCATTAATTATTAATAATATAATAATTTTAATTATTAAAAAATTAAATAAAATTAATAACATAGATATGTAAACAAATAAATAAAAATAACTATTAACTATTAATTATATTATATTTTACCAAATTATATTTTAAATAATAATTTATTATTACTATTTACAATTTTGTATATACTATAATTAAAAAAAAAAAAAAATGGAGCATGCACTTTGGGAGGGGTATTACAGAAACAAAATCATGTTTGGGGCTTTTTGGCAAATCGCCAAAGCCAGACGCTATAAATTGTAGCATTTGTAAATTGACGGTTTGCCCTCAAAATGTTACTCAATTCAGCTATTAACCAAATAAATTTTTTAGCGTTTTAACTATGTCAATTCGTCAAGCGACTAAAGTATGGACAAAACGTCATTTAGCGTACCAAACAAGGCCATAAATGACAGTGTAGCATGGAAATATGTATATACAATAGTACAACAACATCACATTTAAAAGTTTGGTTTGATTACACCAAAGTCAATCCATTTTAATTACGGAGTAATTGTAAAGAAACCAACCAATAAGATCACATCACATTTAAAAATTAGGCGATTTTACCCAAATGTCAATCCTTTTTAATTGTACGTAAGCACAAAAAACTAGCCAGTTATACCGTGAACCATAGTTCATATTGCACTGTCGATCACAAATAAATGTTCATTTTTAATATATTATAAGTTCATTTCTAGATAGTATACTAAAAATTGCCTTTCAAAAAATGAGTATATAATATACTCCGTATTAAAATAAATCTTTAATATACTAAAATAACTATTTATGGAAGTACGTGATCCACCTAACAATGTAAACCATGATCCATAATATAAGCATACGGTTAACGCTTCAAACTCATGTGTATGTAATAATCTTGATTTAAAAATATTTTCCTACCATTTTCTAATTAATCAATATTTTTTTACAAAAATTTCAAGTCATTTCTTAATGAGAAAATGGTCAAATAAGCTCTCAAACTTTACTCAAAAGTGCAATTAAGCCCTTCAACATTAGAAGAGTTCAATTAAACACTCAAACTTGTCAATTTGATGCATTTAAACCCAAATGACATGTTGTTCACCTGAAACAACCAGTCATTAAGTTTCCATCCAATATTCCGGCCACCGTCGAATATCTTATTACCGGCGTCCGGTTGTCTTCTACCATCTGTTGGTCTCCGATCGTCTACACAGTAGAAGAGTAGAACCTGCTTCTGCTGCGTCATCGCCAGAGCTTCTGCAAGAACAGCCTTATCTTCCATCTCCACAAGCTCTG